CCAAGAAAGTTCATTTGGTTTAAGCGATTCCACCCATTAGAAAAAAGTTTTGCACGCTGGTTTTGTTAGAACGGAGCTTAAACAACCCGTCAGATCACGCACGCATCCGAGTCAGGTCACACGCACGCTTGCAACGCTCCAGGCAGGCTAAGTCCGGATGGGATGATTGCAGAACGAGCCAGCTAGTGTTTGTCCGATCAATCAATCGATGTGTCAAGGACGCAATCTGATTAGTGCGTCACTGTGCCATTCTCGTATGCGTGATTCGTACCATATATTTGCGTGGCGATATCTAATCAAGAAAAATACACGCTGACTTTGGCTCCAGCTGTGTTCTCTCTCCGCGTTATTGTTGGAGTTAAGCAAGAGTCGCTTGTGTCTTTCGTACGTCACAACAACTTGTTTAGCATACAATGTGCAATACGATGCGTGTAAAATTTAATATAATACAATAATATATGATTCATGGAAATATTTGTGATAACCGAAAAAGAGCACTCTCCGGACAGCTGTTTCGTCCTGTTTGGGGGTCGTCAACATTGCGTACTTTTTATGTCTCTGTCGCGGTTCGAGTCCTGACACGGGGACACAAAAAGTACGCACTACTGACGAGTCCCAAACAGGACGAAACAGTTTTCCAGTGCTCTTTGTCGATCATCACAAACATTTCCATTGGATTTAAATATGAATTCAACTAGTGGGGAATTAACGATCTCTCGAGGAGTGAAACCCACACCCACGATCCTCAACAACGCCTGTGAAAAACCGAATGGGATAGACCAAGCATTCACCGTACATGTATGAAACATACCTGATAGCGCTTCGCCTCGTTGCAGTACGTCATCAATGTTCTGCACCATAATCCGTTGCACATCTTGCAATGCCACATTTAACTGATTCATGTTCGAGGACCGAGTGTCTGTGTAGGCTTTCTGCGTTTGGTGAATAAAACTGTCTGGGATGAGAGAAAGTCGTATGGATTAGACGGGATTTCTCAACCTACCGAAATCCAGAAACACATATGGTCGAGACACGGTGTGAATTTTGGCCGAATACTCCGAGTAGAATTTGGTCTGAATAGTCTCGAGGAAAGCAAACGCATTGGTGCGATTAAATCGACCCTCGGTCAGGATGAGATAGCACACACCACGATCGAGCAGATAATGAAACACGTACGGGTCAGCCAACAGGGAGCATCGAGACGGGGAAGTGGGTGTCAGTCGACAGACCAATTCTTTCGCCTGTTTCTGATATTCCACAATATGTCGACTGAGCTGTGAATGGAGAATGTGTGAGGGGGGGGAGGAGAACACGGGAAGACAGACAGAGATCATTAATTAAATGGTACCTATATCAGTGCATTTTGAAAATTACACAGAATATCAGTTTGCCGTATTTTTTTAATTCACGTCTTAGACTGAAAGATATGGAACTGTTTCAGTTTCAATTTATCAAACAGGTTTTATCCCATCCAGCGGCTTCCTTAAACAGGAACAAAACAATCGTTGTGATAAATGGAACAGAACAAAAAAATGACAAGCATAAGGATCGCAGAGATGATGATGATTATAGCCTCCGAAAGCCTCAGTATGGTCAGGGGTGGGTGTCTAGGGCTGCGGCTGGCCACTCTTCGCTTGCATCTCGCGAACCGCTCCCATACCATTAAGGGTTTCAAATAGCCTCTGCTGAGGAAGCCCTACTCACTGCCTTCCCGTTGCGCAGTTAGTTTTCCTCCAATGTAAGAGCACGAAAAGCCGTTATCCGGGGCTATAACCAGGTTGGTGGACCACTGGTAGTTTACCTAGGGGAGTTGGCCAAAAACCCTGATTCCAAACTAACCAAGAGGATGTGT